ATTAATGGGTTCTTAGAAAAAAACAATAAAAAAATTGGAAAACAAAACAAAAGAAACAAGAAAGTAAAAGAAAAGCATGCATGAACTTTGAGGTTCAGTTCCAAAAAAAAAAAAACTACGAGGATGGAAATACATAAGAAGATGTTAAAATATAAATACTTAAATTACACCCTCTTTAATAGCTTAAATTTTTGGAGTAGATGACATAATATCAAAAGAGGAGATCATGTGTTAGAATCTTGTCGTCACCTTAATTATTAAAATATTTTTCACGTGTTAAGGCCAAGAATTAGTCAGCACGTGAGGGCGCATGTTGAAAAAATTAGCTTGCATGTGAGGCGTCATGTTGAAGTATAAATATTTAAATTACTCTCCCTAACAACTTAAACTTTTAGAATAGATAGTTGTTTAATAGAAGAAAGGTCAAACTATCGAAGAACCATTTGTTTGAATTGATACTTAACAAAGTAAGCATAATTTTTTATAAAGATTCTTGTACATATCAAGATAATAATGTTTTGTTTTTTTGAAAAAGGTTCTATAATAATAATAGTTTTATTTAGGAAAATTTCTATCCGTACCCCTATAGATTAATATAAATCTTTGGGGTCCCCATAAGTGTTTGTCACTTAATGACATTAATGAAATGTATATTTTTTACATTTATAACCCTAAAAACAAAAACTAGAGCAAATTTCATTCATTTCTAATATAATTTATGTTATTTGAAATTGAGCAATGCTACAGAAACTTAAAAAGTAGATTTAAAAATTAGACTTGATAATTATAATCATTAATTTCACTGTGGGTCTCAGTATTTATTAGGACCCACTACCTATTCAGTGGTTAAGATTATCAAGTCTAATTTTTAAGTCTAATTTTTAAGTCCATCTGGCATTACTCTTTGAAATTTCACTGATGAAAATTGATGCTTTATAAAATTGAGAATGAGATTTTTTGTACGTATTATATATGGTATATAGTATATACATTAATTCTAACCTTAATTTAACCAATGAGCCTATGATACTCTTTAACTTATAAAGACTTTGTTTTTTTGAGGTCAAGGGTTCAAGTCCCCTTCCCCTTTTCCCCTCCCCCCCCAAAAAAAAAAAAAAAAAAAGAAATTTAACCACAAAATTGAAACTTTCCCAATTTTTATATTAACCAAGAATTTATAGATAACATAGTCACACTTCCACTCATAATAACGTATTATCCAAGAATTTATAAATAACATATGACACTTCCTCTCATTTTTCATCTACTACTAATGCACCACATGTTTACACTTTAATAATTTTTGTATATAAAAATTGATAAAACATATCAGATATATGTGTATCTGAATTAAATATCATTTCAAATTTGCTAAATTTAATTTTTTATTACTAATATTCTATTGTAGGATTATGAAAACTTTGTACGTACCCAAAAATCGTTATTCTAACTACACTAAGAAAAAGAAAAAAAAAAATAGTTAAAGTTTTGGGGTCTATTTGATTTGGGTTCCAAAAATAATTTTTTGTTCTCAAATGAGTCAAACCAGTAAAAACTAAAGAGATGTTGTTTGGTTAGAAATTTCCAAAAATATTTTTTTTTTTAAAAAGGTGGGAATTGAGAACAAAAACTAGAGAACACCTAAACAATGTCCTCTCAGTTTTCAAGACAAAATAGAAAACACGAGAAACACCCATTCTCTTTAATGAGATCCACACTTTAAACTTTTTTAGTAGCAAAGAACCCCATTTTTTTCTTTCATATTCTTGATTTGTGCTCTCTCTCTTGTCTGCTCTCACTGACTCACTCTATCGCAACTCTCACTCTCTCTTCTCTCTCGTATGCTCTCACTCACTTGCTCTTTCTCGCATCTCTCCCCCCTCTCTACTGTAACCAACAAATATATATGTATAAAATAAAAACTTATAAGAAGTTGAATTTTATCCCCTATATATATTTTTTCCCAAAACCATTACATTACCTATTTTATTTTATCGAATTACGTATTTTAAAAAAAAATTGTTAATATTTTTTAAAAAATAATGGATAAATTTTGAATGATATAATCAAAAAAATGAAGGAAAAAAATATTATCTATAATATAAAACAAGACGACTTCAAGAAATTACCTTTAGATTATATTCATCTAACGGTCAAGAAATTATCTTTTTTTTTTCCTTAATATTCCTCCCCATCGGTCAACAATTACGACTGATCTTGGAATACATTTTACGGTCCCAAAATTCATTCATCCAACAGTCAAGAAATTACCATTTTTTTCTTTAATATTTTCCCCCCAATCAGTCAACGATTACGATTGATTTTGGAACACATGAATTTCTTTAACATAATAATTAAATGAGTCAAATTTACCATTAATATCATCTATGTAGTGTAACATTTTGAATTTTTATACGACATAATGATAACATTTTGATTAAAAAAAATATCAATTTAACAGATAAAAAAGGCAAGGGTGCTAGTTAACACATTTTTATTGAATATAATTAATTTTAATGTTATTTATTTAATTCATTATCTCAAACTAACATGTTCTACACATATCTTGAATCAAAAGTTTAAGACTATTTTTTTTATCTCTTAAGAAAACTCAATGTTAATATATGCTTATAAATTAATAATTTTGTAATAACTTGTACCAATTAAAAATAATAATATTTTATAAATGATATTTATAGAACTTTTTTTGATTAAAAATATTTTGGCGATATGCTTTTTGATAAATTAGATTTTTAGTTTATATTAGATTTGACTCGATTTTGATTACATACATATAAATTGATGTTTGATTTTGATTACATGTATATAAATTAATATTTTTTTAAGTCAATTGTATCATATTTTGTGAATTTATCTATAATATGAAACAGGAAAGACATCTATAAGTTCATCCAACGGTATCAAATAAATTCATCCAACAAGCACTAACATTTCTCTCAAAACCTTTTAGATTGAATTTTACCTTCCTCTTCTCTTTACTCTCTCTCTTTTCTGGTAGTGGCAGAGGGATGAGGGGCCTAGGGCCACCTTGAATTCCATACCAAAATCTCTTAAAATTAGCAAACTAAAATTGATTCTTCAGAGTATTTGTAAGATTTGTTAGAGACTTATTTGGATGAAAAAATATGGAATATATAGTCAAAAATTAGTAAAATATAAAATTTGTAAAAATATTAAAAATTATAGAATATTACTTTTTATTTATATCAAATCTATAATATAAAATATGACAGAATTTAAAAAGTTTATCTAATATTGTTAAATAGACTCATCTAATGATCACTAGTATCACCCTCAAAATCATTTACATTGAATTTCTTTCCTATCAAATCTATCACTTTTCACTTATATTACATCGTATCTTCAAGTACGAATTATTTCTAATTATTTAATATAATAAAATTAATTTTTTAGAAATTCAAATTTTATGTTTTATCTCGTCTTACATTCTAGGACATATTTTTCAGATTTACAAAAATACTGTTCATTAAAAATCCCTCGTATAAAAGCCCTCCCTTTGTTTTTCTCTAAGCCAGGCGGGGACATCAACAAGACGCTCTCTCTTTCTCTCTCGCTCGCTCACCCTAGACTGGAAGAGCTTTCCGTTCAGTTCAAGCTTTAGCTCCGGCGACTATGTAAGCCCTAGATCTCCTAATTTTATACCTTTTATTCTTTGATTTTGTTTGGGTCTGACAGTAGTGGTGATGGTGATGGAAGTGGTGGGCGTTGGGTGGTAATGACAGTGGTGGGCGTTGGGTAGTAATGGAAGTGGATTCAATGGTACCGTGGTGGTTGGAAGGTGGCTTGTGGTAATTCTATATGGTGGTGATTTGAGGAGGTGTTTTTGGATAGTGGTAGCTTGGTCTTTGCTTAATAAGTCAATTTGTTTAATCTGTGAACTGACCTTAATTTCTTGTTGTTAGTATTTTTATGGGAAACATAAATCATGTATGTTTAAAAATTGAGAAGTACACCAAAAAAGGTTGGATATGCAATCCTACCAAGGTAAATAACAAAGAGAGGAAGGAGAAAAAAACACAAAAAAAGCCTACAAATCACATAAGCATTCTATCTTACTAAAATAGCCAAAAACAGAATTCCTTTAGAGTCCTTGGCCACTAAAGTCCAAAAAAACTGTAATAAATGAATATTGTCCCATAATCCTTCCAATTATGTTAGGCTAATGCAAAAAATAAAATGCATGACTAATGAATATTTGCTAGGACAACTGATCACACCACTTCTCTTTTTTTTTTACTTCAGCTTTCTGGTTGGTTGACCTTTTCACTTCTCGTTGTCCACTCTTTTGTTTAATTATTTCTTTGTTTGCTTTCTGCCACATGTCTAAGTTTAAACGAAATATCCATGGAGATTATTCAGTTACTTTGTGGCATTTAACATAATTATGGAATTAGGAAATAAGGCAGCATCATGATTTCATCCTCAATAAACAGTTAGACCATGGACAATCATCTACTTTGAGAATAGATGCAATTATTAGGTTGAACCAATATAAATCCATGCTGAAAGAGGTCATTATGTCATATATATCTGTAGATAGATAGCTAGATTTTTCTTTTCTCTGAAGTGTATTGATTTAAAACACTGGTGTGCTTCATTGTCTTTGTAAAGCAATGTACTAAAACTGGTAAATCAATGTCTTGTCAAGCATCCCAAAATTGTGCCAAGGAATGTTTAATAGGAGTATGTGTTAGTGATTTTTCAGTGGTAAGATATGTGTGTTGTAGTCAGGAAGGTTGCTCAGTCTTTAGCCGTGGGTTGAAGTATTAACTCTAATTGAGCTTTGTTTTTCTTTCGATTGTCTCACTGAGGTTTAGTAACTAGAAAAAATAATGAAAAAGAAAGGCTTCCCACTAAGCTCTTTCACTGAGTTGTCAAGTGTAGCTATTGTGAGAAGTTTCATGTTTAAATATTGCCATACTGTTTGATTAATGATAATGATGCCCCTTTTATAGCCAATGCATTGGACTGGATGTATGTGTTACCTTACATTGTCTGTTGGATTAAATGTTGTACTGCAATTTTCGGGTTACATGTGGAGCTTCAATTCAAGAAAGCTTTTGCTTCTTCTTGAATTTGTATTTCATACTATATTAAGGCAAGCAAACAAAGATAAGTAACTTAATTATAATTAGTAGTTAATTTTGGGCATGCTTGGTGCAGAAATCGACGAAGTACAAAGTGAACCACATTTCTCCTTAAGAAAACACCATTATGTTTTTGCCCTCTCATCATGCAAGAGTAAAAGTGGGCGGGGCACTCTTTCCACCCCTGAATGCAAACCACAACAATCACCATCTAATGTCTAAACCCATCAACAATACCAAAGCTTCTCCACTAAGCTTGCCATTTTCACTCTATAGAAATAACAATGACAATAATATAATAATAAATCCGCCACTTGCACGCACAGTGGTCATTTCCAGCTAAACTCTCGTTCCACCTTCATACTCAGCCATGCTTTCTGATACATGTGGCAGAATTTGATCAATTTTGAGCTTGATATGGCGCAGAGTTTTTTGATTTGGTTTGGGCACTGAAAGTCAATAGACTTGTTTATATACTGGGTTGGCCTTTCTTTGATTTGAAAACTGATCAACAACTCTGAAGCTCGGTTATGGTGCCAACCAGTTATCTCCAATTGTAGTCATGTTCTGGTGCTACTCTGTTCGATCATAGGCACAGGCACAGGTACCATTTACTCCTGAGTGCCATTACTTATTTCATTTTTCTGTTTTCTAAAATTTTTTGTATGTTTTTCATGATAAATTCTATTGCTGATTTCATGCTTCTTTGAGTAGATTAAATTGTGATATACTTGACCCGATCTGACTTGATGGCTATATAACCCAAATGTGAGCCTTTAATTCATACTGTTGCATACATACCTATATGCTTGCTCACTGTATTGATTAGATCGCATCTCAATCTTAGAGAATTTTTCATTTTTTAGTGATGTTACGCCATTACAGTTTGCCGCATAGTTTACTGGAGTGAATATTCAATGCAGGTTGCTAACTAAGACGCATTGCATATTTGCTGTCTTGGGATTTATTTATAGGTATAGTAGAAATTAGGATGAAATCCAGAATCAAATGGGCTGCACTTGGAGGACTTGTTTTGTCTTTTGTCTCGTTGCTGTTGCACTTGTTTCTTGCCAAGTCAAGTGCAAGCCTAGTGCAGTATGGGGCCATGTTGAATTTCAGCGATGATTTGAGTGTCAATGTCGGGGGTGGTGGAAAGGTACATCTTGTACTGCTTTTGCATTTTGTATGTACAGAAAGATACCTATATGTTCTTCTTAGAGAAGTAGAGTGATTAAAATTTTATAACTGCCTATTTTTTTTCCCTTTTCTGTCCTTTTTTTATAGGGTGCTGGGTATAGGAAGTTGTGGGGAAATGTCAAGTCTTTGGAGTTCTTGCATCCATATGCCAATCCAAGGAGTACATATCCTGGTAATGTGTGTGAATCAAGTAGGTTGAATTGTGACATAGATCAGGATCCTGAAAGTCTAATTTTATGAAAATCTATTATTGTTTGTTGTGATTTTATCACTTCTCATGCATGTTTCTTGTTGTTTACGCACCCACATACGACTGCCTCTGGAACTCTTAGATCAGATGCATTTTATGTATATTGATGCAAAGTGGTTCCTACCCAAAACATGATAATTTGCCAGCCCTCTCTAATTGGCCATGTACAAGCATAAGCAGTTCAAAGACTTCAATTTTTTTTTGAAACTTTGTGTGGTGGATGCCAGTGATCTGAGCGAATGAACTAATCATCAAATTGCAGTGTTTTCCCTTATGAAGTGACAAAGGGGGAACTAAATCCCAAGCAAAAAAGAAGTGAAGAGATAGGCGAGGCCTTTCCAGGAAACATCAGCAGAAAATTGTGTCACCCTCAAGGTGGTTCTCGGAAAAATTTTAAGGCCGATTAGAAAGAAAGCACTATATGTGGCCCTAGGTTTTATTTAGCACACAAACATGGAGTTTTAAGTTAATTAAGAGAAGTCCAAGCTCTGAACTTCTTGACCCTTTTCTTCATAGTATTTTCATCTCTGGGAGCCCTCTTTTCATCGTATGCTTTAGCAATAATAATTTCCTTAAAGGAGGAAGGAAATGTGAATTTGGTTCAGAACTTCAGATCCCAACGTAGTTTATAGGGTCAAATGTTTCATCTGCCCATTAAGTAAACACATCCCAATTTTGAATTTGGGTCTCCACCATTCAGGGTGCATATCACTTCAAGATTAATGTTTATTGTTGTTCTGTCTTGCTGCAAAAATTAACATTTAAGCTCAGGAGATTTGTTCTGTGGCACCTTTTTATGCCATTGTGGCCAACTTCTAATTGGCAATACAAGCATTTTCAGTGTCAGCTATGTAAATATGGTGATAGGGATCTAGTGTCAAATGTGTATGTGGTCAATTCTATAATTGAGGAAGGGATCTGTCCTCTATCCTCTGCCCCTCACCAATATCATGGAGAATAGGCTTCTTGTTATCATCTCTTTTGATCTTTTTTGTTACTCACTTCCAAATCCTCCACTGAAAATTTTAGTAGATGAATTATTGTCGTCGCAGACTTATGAATTTTATGGACAAGATTCACTTCTTGGCTAGTTGGTCTGTGTTATCTATAAGAGGGTTCCAATCAAATCAGTTATCCAGCTAGATTTTAATCTTCTAATTATTTCCCACTTGCCCACGTCCTTGATGGGGATGTCTTTATCTTTTTTTTTTTTTTCCCACTGGTATCAGAGAATCATCCTTTGGATTGTGACATAAAATGTCTCCAAAGCATATGAATTTGCATCCTCAATCCTCTTTGAAACTCACTCTCTCCCTCTCTCGCGCGCACACATACGTACACATAAGGTCCATACCCTTTTTGTGGTAAAAAAAGAGAAAATTAGGATAATGTAGCAAATGACATTTTTTGTTCTACAAAAGATATTAAGTCTCATTCTTCTATATATTCTACTCACATCATTTTACATCATGCAAAAAATTGAATTTGTAGAATCCTTGTGATGATCTTATTTATCCATAGATAATCACCTAAGGATAGAACGAGAAGCATAATGTAGCAATGACTCTTTTATTTTTTTCCACTATATTTACCATGTATGATATTTTTTAACTATGCAACATGATATTTATAATATAAATATATATTTTAATATGAGTTTATAATTAATTACCTTGAGTGTATATTTGTTTATAGATTTAATAATAATTACCACCTAAATTTATTCACATGCACTACTAGTTCACTCAAGATGTGTGCAATCACTCATAAACCCCGCACATTAAGCAAAATAAGGTTTTTTGTAAGAGTCGAACTTGGGATCTTGAATTAGTAACCTCTAAATTCTTTTCATCTGAGCTACCCTAATGAGTTTTCAGATTGTTTTGAATGCTCCTCCAAGTATATGAAGAAATTGCTTTCAGTTGACTCTCTACAAAGCTGAGTTATCAAATATTTGCCCAGTAAGACCTGAGTAAAAACTTTGTAGTGTTTTCTGAGTAACTCTGCCTTGGCTTGTTTGGGCTTGTTTGATTTTATAATCGAGTCAAATATGGACACAAAATTGGGCTCGTTTGAATATGAGCTCAGCCTGAGCTACTCTGTGGCTTGTTTAGGCTCGATTGTTTATTCCACAATTCTTCACTTCTATTTTTAATAGTCCAATTTTAGCCGCCTATCACTGACATCTTGTCCAAGATGATTTTCAAGTAAACCTAACCAAACCAAAGGCACTCAAATGACTGCCAACAATCCCAACCCTTTTTTACTTTTCTCTTTCATGCATTCCTCCATTCTATCTCTACCTCTCATAGCTTTTCTCCTTTTCTTCATGGATGTAGGTCTATCTCTCAATCTATTTTTCTTCCTTTCTTTATTCCTTCCTTCCCATATGTCACTGAGCACCGATATTGCAGACCTTTATTTTTCACCTTTCTCAATTTTCTCCCTTTCTTCCTTTCTATTTGGTCTTTTGTCTTCAGAGTTCGATACTTCATGATTATTTATATGTATTTGGGTGTCAATTTAGAGGAAGAAAAGTAAGAGTTCTTGGTAATACTAGCGTGGCTTTGGGGTGATCTTGTGTCGAGTCGAGCTTGAATATCCATCCATTCTCCAACCTGAGCTTGAGCATGTTGTAGCTTGGCCAGCTCGACTCGATTCTCATTCCCAAGTGAAGAAACTAGACAATTTTTAGGTTAGTTTATTGTATCTCTTTTCAAAAAGGTTTGCCATTCTTACAACAAAGAGGTGATTGATATATCGTAGTAATTTTTTTTGCTGTAGTGGGTATGAATAACTCCTAATCCCCTACGTCTACACCTTCTATAATGTAATACAATTCGATTCCTATCATTAGCTCTTCAAGGTTTCACGTCAAGTTTCTGATGGTCCAGGTCAACTTTTCATTAGTCCAAGTCAGCTTTTTGAACTTTGGGATCCTGTAAAGAAGTCGAAAGACTGGAGGGGGGAGCTCGGGGGGTTGATCCTACGATTCTTAATTAATTTAGTAAAAGCTGGAGAGGTGTATTTGGGAACAAAGTTGCGTACCTTTTAGGTTTCCCGTGGGCTCCTTTTTATAGTTTAGAATTAGTTTCCTTAGGGTAGTGGACTCTAGACTCCATTATCTGCCATTGGGCGGTTCAACTCCTTTTATCTTAGGAGTTTGTTTTCCCTGACCACCCTTTGAGGTGGGTTAGACTCCCTTCGAATGAGGAGTCTTTGATTCCCTCTCCTGATGTTAAGGAGGTTATACTCCTTTGGGATGCGGGGTTTTGACCTTTTTCCATCCAGATGGGGATTGCAAAATCGGCTAAGGAGTCTTTGATTTTTGAATTGTTGATAATCATATCTTTTAGCCTTCGTTTAGAAGTCAGCTGCATGAGGTGGAATTGATTATTAGGATTGTCGCAACTCAGAGCTTTCTGTATCTAGGCTGGAGCTCGACAGGTCTCCCAACGGTAACTTTTTTCATGGGTTGCTTTTGTTTGAGCTTTCCTAATTGGGTTATTGATTTTTTTCCCATATTAAAACCATAATCAAATTCATCAGAAAAGAAAACTGAAATCTAGGAAAAATCAAAAAATCAAAATGGTGAGGCATAAACCACAACGCAATCTTGAGCATCTATGGCGGTCTTTATCGCAGAAGAGAAGTGGAGCAATGGTGGACTGGTTGGTCACTTAGCAGCCATGATGGTCTTCATGCAAGCCATAATATTGGAGAGATGATGGTCGCAATCGTAGTCACAAACGTCATTTGTACTCTCGCATGCGTGTGCTAGAGAGAGAGAGAAAGAACAGAGGTCGTGTTTCTTTGAGATGTGAGAGATTGGCTGAATTTTTTTCCATAATGCAAGGATTGTCTTATCTTTTCATAACATATGTTAAGGATCCTTTAGTGTGTAAACAAAAAAGTTTGTGGCGCTTAACTGGACTCCTGATAGATAAGATAAAATTGGAAATACATTTGATCTCATGTACTCTTTCAATATGCCATCTCATGTCTGTTATTAGGCATCTATGTGCATTTTAGACAAGCCTCTTCTCAAGCTTTTGTATTCCTAGCCATATCGAGCCGGGGATGTCGTCTTTAGTAGAGGTGCATCTTGTCGTTTTTGATTGAACCAAATAAGGTTCTCCTTAACAAATCTAGTGTTTTGCATCATTCTCAAAGAAAGGCTATCAAATAATTTTCAATCATGGTTCTTGCGGATCGGATCTTTCTATAATGTACAAAAAGAAACTCCAAGTATTTGATATCTTCCTCTTTGAATAAGATATCAAATTTAGTGACGGTTTCACCAGATATCTTGCAACTAGAATCCCTTTTTTTTTTGGATCCAGTTTCTTTACCAGGCTAAACCCTTGTTAGATCTAGACATGCTTCACTTTTTATTTATTGGGAGGGAGAACCCAAGTACTCTCTTTTAGATTCAGAAAATAACTCTCAGATATTTTTTTTTTCCATTTGGAAGATAAAGGAATCAAATAATCAACCTATTGAAGTATTTGAGAGTCTAGATTTAAGGTTTGGGTTTTCTTTCCATCATGTGGGTCCTCTGGAGGTGGTGTTGTGATATGGGACACTTGATTTGCTACTAGGGTGGATTTTGTCCGTGGCTCCTTTTTTGCATCGGTCCTTCTTGAGATTAAGGGAAGAGGGGAATGGTGGATTACTTCAGTTTATGGTCCTTTTTNCTCTGGAGGTGGTGTTGTGATATGGGACACTTGATTTGCTACTAGGGTGGATTTTGTCCGTGACTCCTTTTTTGCATCGGTCCTTCTTGAGATTAAGGGAAGAGGGGAATGGTGGATTACTTCAGTTTATGGTCCTAATCTTCCTAGAATTAGATCTTCTTTCTAGGATGAATTATATTACTTGTTTGGTTTGTGTGGACCCAGGTGATGCTTTTTTTTTTTTTTGGGGGAGGGGAGATTTTAACGTCATTAGGAATTTCAATGAGTAGTTGGGGGGTTCTAGGGTGATTGCTCGTATGAGAGATTTCAATTCTTTTATAAGTGTGTGGATTGAGGGATATTAGGTTATCCAATGCACAATTTACATGGTCTAAGNATGAATTATATTACTTGTTTGGTTTGTGTGGACCCAGGTGATGCTTTTTTTTTTTTGGGGGAGGGGAGATTTTAACGCCATTAGGAATTTCAATGAGTAGTTGGGGGGTTCTAGGGTGATTGCTAGTATGAGAGATTTCAATTCTTTTATAAGTGTGTGGATTGAGGGATATTAGGTTATCCAATGCACAATTTACATGGTCTAAGAGTTTAGATAATCCTATTGGAACACGAATAGACAGGTTCCTTTTTCTTAGTGAATGGGAAGATGTTTTTCCAAATGTGGTGCAAAAGATTATGTCTAGTGTGGTGTCTGACCATTTTCCTATTGTACTTGAGTCCAATCCAATTAAGTGGGGCCTACACAATTTAGGTTTCAGAGCATGTGGTTAACTCACCATTCTTTTAGGGACAGGTGTAAAGATTGGTGGTGGAATTGTGAGGTAGAAGGATGGGAGGGGTTTAAGTTTATGAAAAAGCTGAAGAGGGTGAAAGGAAAATTGAAAGTGTGGAATAAAGAGGTTTTTGTAGATGTTAGAATTAGAAAGTCAGAGATTGTAAGGGAAATTGAGGTGTTATATGGTTTGGAGGTGAATAATGCTTTGACAAGTGAACAACTCAGAAAAAGGGTATTGTTAAGAAATGAGTTAGAGGAGCTATTAGTAAGGGAGGAGACTAGTTGGAGGCAAAAATCTAGATTTAAGTGGGTTAAAGAGGGTGATTGTAATACTAAGTTTTTTCATAGATTGACAGCTGGTAGAAGAAGAAAAAGTGTCATTAGACAGATAGAGACTGAGTTAGAAGAGGTTGTACCAGATTTGTTGCTAATTGCTAAGGAGTTTATAGAATTTTATAAAGACTTATATACTAAGGATGTTTCTTTTAGGCCAACTATTGAAGAAGTTGATTGGAGTNAATTGCTAAGGAGTTTATAGAATTTTATAAAGACTTATATACTAAGGATGTTTCTCTTAGGCCAACTATTGAAGAAGTTGATTGGAGTCTTATGATGTTTGAGAGAGTAGATTGGATAAAGAGACTTTTTGACGAGGAGGAGATTAGAAGAACTGTTTTTAATGAGTTTTTTGCTCATGGGATTGTGGGGAGGAGTGTTAATTCTACCTTTATTACATTGGTTCTCAAAAAAGATCAAGGTTAAGGACTGTAGGCCTATTAGTTTGGTGACTAGTTTGTATATAATCATTNTTAATTCTACCTTTATTACATTGGTTCTCAAAAAAGATCAAGGTTAAGGACTGTAGGCCTATTAGTTTGGTGACTAGTTTGTATATAATCATTACAACAGTGTTGTCTAGAAGATTAAGTGAAGTTTTGGGAGACACAGTAACTAGAGCTTAGAGTGCTTTCGTCTAAGGAAGACAAATAATAGATGCAATTTTAGTGGTGAATGAAGTGGTTGAGGATTCTATGAGAGGAGATAAGAGAGGAGTGGTGTTCAAATTGGATTTTGAAAAAGCCTATGACAGTGTAAATTGGAATTTTGTGGATGTTGTGTTAAAGAATAAGGGGTTTGGGGAGAGGTGGAGGAAGTGGGTTAAGGGTTTCTCTCGTCTTCTATTTTTTTCGTGTTGGTTAACGGGGAGTCTAGGGAGTTATTTAATGCTTCTAAGGAATTAAGACAAGGGGATCATTTATCTCCTTATATATTTATATTGGTGGTTAGTCTCTTGACTAGGGTGATCAATAGAACAGAGAAGGTAGGATTTGTAGAAGGGATGAGAATGGGTAGAGAGGGTGTTACACTGTCACACTTGCAGTTGCTGAGGATACTCTTTTTTTCTTATCAGATAAAATGGAGTGTTTTAAGAATGTGCTTTCTTTGGTTAAGATCTTTGGTCAATTCTCAAGTTTGAAAGTTAATATGTCTAAAAGTGAAGTTATAAGCATTAATTTGGAGGAAGAGATTGTTAAAGATTTGACNTTTAAGAATGTGCTTTCTTTGGTTAAGATCTTTGGTCAAGTCTCAAGTTTGAAAGTTAATATGTCTAAAAGTGAAGTTATAAGCATTAATTTGGAGGAAGAGATTGTTAAAGATTTGGCTTCAGAGGTAGGTTATGTTGTACATGTGTAGCCTATGATGTACCTAGGATTACTATGGGGGAAAATCCAAGATCTTTATCTTTTTGGAACCCGATTGTAGAAAGAATAACCAAAAGATTAGATGGTTGAAAAATAACCTATTTCTCTCTTGGAGGAAGGATCACTTGGATAAAGGCTTGCTTGTCTAACATTCCTTTAATACCACTTGTCTTTTTTCCGAGGCCCTATAGCAATTGCTAGGAAACTAGAGAAGATGATGAAGGATTTTTTTTGGTCGGGGGTAGGAGAAGTTAAGCGGGATCATTTGGTGAGTTAGGAAACAGTTTGTAAGCCAGTGGATATAGGGGGATTGAGACTTGGTAATTTGGTGTCTAAAAATATTTTTCTTGTAGGTAAATGATTATGGAGGTTACTATTAGAACCTAACTCTCTTTGGCATAAGATATTGGTGGGATACTAAATCAGAGGATAATGGTAACCCATGCGAGTCCTTGGAAGTTCATTTCATAGGTTTATCCTTCTTTTCTTCCTTTGTCTCGATATAAGGTAGGAGATGGTTCTAAAGTTCTATTTTGGGAAGATATATGAATGGGAGATTCATCTTTTCATAATATATTTCCCGTCTTTATCGTTTGTCTTCATTTCATGAAACTCCTATGTCCTCTTTTCTTGTTTTGGGGAGAGAGTCTTATTCATGGAATTTTCATTTTTTTGAAAATCTTAATGATAGGGAAGCTGTTGATTTGACTTCATTGTTTCATATTCTTGAAGAGTTTTCTCCCAATTCTTCTCGTGATTGTAGGATTTGGACCGTAGATAAATCTGAAATTTTCTCTTATAAATCTTTCTACTCACATCTTGTTAGTCCCGAAAATGTTAAGTCTTTTTCTCTAACAAAATTTATTTGGAAGCCAAAATTCCCTAAAAAATTAAGGCTTTTGCTTGCTCTGTTGTCCTTAATAGGGTGAACACTAGCAATTTGTTGCAGATTCGAAGGCCCTATTAAGGCTTTGAGCCCTCATATTTGTCTTAATTGTTTGAATAATGGAGAATCGAATGCTCATTTGTTTGTTTATTGCACTTTTGCATGGGGATTGTGGAATAATTTATTCAAGCTGGCTGGTGAAGCTTGGGTTTGTCCTTCTACAATAGAAGAATTGTTGCACATTAAGTTTTGGGGTTTTGGAAAGAAAAAGGAAGCAAAGCTACTATGGGATTATACTTTGATGACACTACTTTGGTGCATTTGAAGGGAGAGGAATGCAAGAATGTTTAATAATCATATTCTGCGTTCAGAGTTAGTATGAGAAAAAGTTGTTTTTATGGCTTCTCTATGGACCAAAGCCACAAGAAGTTTAATAGGGGTGCCTCTATTAGATCTTCAACGGGATTGGACTGCAGCGTTGCTTTAGTGTAAACGCATAGTTATTCTTTGTATTATGTTTTTTTTTTTAATATGTTTGAGGATTTCTTGTTCTTCACGATTTATCCTATTTTTTAATTCTATTTTCTCAATAAAAATTTCTTCGTTTATCAAAAAAAAAAAAAATCAATCTATTGATATTGGAAGACCCAATGGATTTACTCAGTCATTTTGAAGGGAATCACTTGCTTCCCAATCCAACCCGTCATTCTGGTGTGCAACATATGTACAGTCAATTTAACAGAAAATGTACGGTAGTAGATTAGTCAAAATCAAGAACGGGGCTATGTGGTTATTGTTAAAACAACCAAGGGGTGAACTGCTTGAAGGCCAAACAACAAGGGTTGAAAGAAGTTTACCCTTGATTTTTTTATTGCAGTGATTTGCTTTTAAGATGTTGAAAACGATTTCAATACCGATCTTAATTGCAATTCAGCAATTGATCATCATATTCTTGGATTTGATGTATCTTTAAATGGATTTTATCTTCCCTTGTCTGTGATAGTGAACAAAGGGAGAATTTCTGGCAGAATTTTTGGTTTTTCAGAGTATTTTCATATGTTGAGCTTTCCTTTTGTACCCAAAAGTTCTTATACTTCATAATCGTTGAAGTTTACTTGCCTTCCTTGTTGCAGCTCCTACTGTGCAAACCAATGGTTTCATTTATGCGAAAGTTTTTGGTGGATTTGAGAAGATTAGAACATCGGTATGCTGATAATTATGTTATATAATGTACTTCATATACTGATATAATATGTTTCTTATGAAGTCTGTAACTGCTTTGCCAATTTGATAGATTTGTGATCTTGTCGCCATAGCCAGGCTTCTAAACGCTACACTTGTCATTCCAGAGATTCAAGAAAGTATTCAGTCAAAAGGCATCAGGTTTTTCTCGACTATTGGGAGCCAAAAGCATTTTTCCCATTTTCTTTTGTTCATGCCTGAGTTTTCAACTGTATTGATGTACCGTGCAGTTCCAAGTTCAAAAGTTTTTCGTATGTCTACAACGAGGAGGAATTTATAGCAGCTCTTGCAAATGATGTAGTTATCGTGAAAAGCCTGCCCCCCAAGTTGAAGGCAGCCAGGAAACGTAAACAATTCCCAACTTTTAAGCCTAAAAGTTCAGCTTCTCCAAATTTTTATATTTCTGAAGTCTTACCCAAGTTAAAACAAGCAAACGTTATTGGGTTAGTACTTATTGATGGAGGCTGTCTACAGGTATAAGGGGTTTTATTCTCTTATCTTCCTTCTTCTTCTTAAGGAATAGCTATTTTATTTTTCTTCAATTTAATTTTTTTTGTACAAATTAAAAATGGAAGATTTAGTTACGCGTAGAAATCTACTTTCTATCTTCATTCATGGATCCTTTATTCATACTCATTTGATGATCTAATTCAAAGATTATATTTTACAATTTCATAACCCAAATTTTCAATTTCTAAGTAACCCTTGGATACAAATCACGCAAATGTATATTTTTCTTCGTATCTGTCACGTCGCTGAGAGGTAAACAACTACACACCACCACCACCAAGGCCTTGCTATTTCCACTGTCTGGTTATTTCCACACTAACCTAAGAAGCTCACAAGATAACTGCTCATTAGAGGGCATGGAATAATCTAGAAGGGTTCTGATGATGATGCCATCCTGATATCAATGAGTCCTATCCGCGCGGGCGCGCGGGGGGGGTGGGGGTGTGTTGCAGATGTCATGCATCTGATAGTCTCTGAACAGATTTTTCGAAAACAAGGAGAAAAAGATGAGTGGTCCAACTAAGAAAAAGATGAGTGGTTCAAGTCACTAGTGCCGAAGGATTTATTTATTAATATAATGAGTGAAGAGGGTGTACTGTGTGTAGCGTGTATGAGTCCGAAAATTAAACTCTAGAGGAGCATGCCTGAAATTACTTAATTTTATACATCCATGAATGTAGACTAGCAGACATGCACCTCTGGAGCTGAGTTAAGTTTAAGGACCAAATTTTTGAATAATTTATGCTATTTGTCGAGGCTTCTTTGGTTAGGCTTAATAGGGGAAGCTTTGGTATTGACTTTTTCCTTTTGTTTTTCCACCTAATAATATCTGCTTGATTTTGGTTCTTGTGGATATGTAACTCCTAGCCGGGAACAATTGAATTGTTTTATTTCATTTTCAAATGTTGCCTTGATGTGTCTTTCAACTAGGAAAGATCTCTCTAACTTGTCTTTTATTTTGCTTCACAGCCCATTCTTCCCCCTAACTTGGTAGAGTATCAAAGGCTCAGATGTCGGGTTGCATTTCATTCACTACAGTTCCGTCCTGAAATTATGGCACTTGGGCACCTCATGGTTGAAAGGTGAGATACCTGATTGTTTATAGTTTGTTTGCTGTTCCTGGGATTTTAAATTATCGTTATGGCCGTCATTAGGGCATCTCCAACCTTGAGTCAACATTCGAGTAAAAAGCTTGATTTGATACAAAACACTCCAATGGAGAAACTCAAATTTAAAGAAAGACAAACCCAAATTTAAAAGATGATAGAATATAACTATTAAATCTTTAAAAGAGAATGCAATCTAACTATTGATGATTTGAGTAAAGGGAGAAAAATGGAAAGTATTTAATTGGAACATGAAAACGTGACTCAATTGATCCTAGTTACTCTTCGGGATGGAGTGAAAGAATGGAGGGGATTCTCGAATGCGGAAAAAGATGCAATGACTTCGAAGGACTTTTATTCTTTTCCCTGGCGCAACTGGGCCATTCTGGACTTGAACCAGAGACCTCGTCTGTGAAGTAAATCATCTCACCTACGGTCCAACTAATTGGGAGAGAATCAATAGATTCTTTTTCAGGAGTGATTCATCCTTCCTGAATGCAACATACACTTCTTCTCTGGGAAAAGAAGTTCATGATCTGGGACCTTCTACCTCCATGTTTTTATGTTCCAATTAAACATTTTGTAAAAATAACATTGCTAGAAATTGACAAGGTAATGTTTCCATTTATTCATCAAAAGTGATGTCCCTTTTGAAGCCAGAATTGATTTTTCTTGATATCTAACATAATGTATGAAAGAATTCTTGAACAACCGTAGGCTGACCTGAAAAGTCTTAGCAAAGACTTCTACAAGATATTCTATTTTTCCATAAAAAGAAATCACAAAAAGAGTATGTTGCTGTCATTTTGAAAGGATTAAGAAGCATCGAAGTAATGTCTAAACCCAATGATTTAAATAAAGGATCCAAGAACAAGGAAACACCATTTCCATTGTCTCACTACTTGAATCAAAATAAAAAAAATGTCTGCCGTCAACTCATGTCGTAAGGTGTTGGGTTAAGTCTCCCGACAAGTGCAACCCTCGTGTTTAGTTGCCATCGTTGAGATTGGAACTTGGAACATATCAAAGAGTTAGTGCTGGGCTAGCCGAAAATTGAAGTTTATCAGAAGTTTGGTCTAAAATTCCTGAAAAGAATAACTGAAAGAAAGGAAATCAATTAATTATTCGTCAAAGTTTCATTTTATTTATTCATTGACCAGAATTAGATGGGGATTGTGTCTCATTTTATTTGGGTAAAATTTTGAATCTTTCTTGATTTGGTATAGGATTGAAGAAGATTTTTATGAGTTTTTTACCGAAATTTAAATTTGAGTTTAAAAATAGGGTTAAGGGTTGCAGGTGCTCTTATGGTTGAGGTGTTGGGCACAATATAACAAATTTTATATAAAGGGATATGAAAGTTTTAACCATGAGGTTTTTGTGGGATGTACAACATAATAAAAATTCAAATTTGAATGTTTAACCATATAATATTGTTTTATATTAAATTTATTAATATTGTTCAACATGTAAACATGCTTTACCATGGGTCGTAATATTCATATTGTTTTGCTAGATGTCAAATTGTCAACAGAAAAAGGTGTTATATGATTTTTACTTTAGCACTAAAACAATGGAAGCTTGATTATGTGGGCCTGGAAGGTTTTGGAGGTAAGAGAAGGAAAGAGTGAAAGAGAGAGAAAAAGGATAGCCAATCAATCATAGGTTCTAAGGCACTCACTTCAGAATAGAAGCAATAGACATGATATAATTTTGTAATGCAAAACGACAAATTTTGGTAAAGAGAGGAAAATGTACAAGGATGGTGGACAATAAAATACCACAACAAAGACTAAAAACAGAAAATCATCAAAAAGAACTAATCTTCTGGATCCTCTTTAACTACATGACACCATTCAATTGTGATGGATAAAGAACAAAGGAGTATCCTGAAACTCCTTAGGGGCCGCTGCCCATTGCAAGACAAGAAACTTAACTCTATCCCGTTGAAACTTACTCTACTCATATTTGTTATAAAAAATTCTACTTAATTCTTTCCATCTAAACAACCCAAAAAATGGGCCCAATAGCACAATCCAAAATTATGGAAGCCTTTTTGCTTGTCCTTGAACAACCAAAATTTTTCACAAATAGAGAAACCCAACCTTGTGAGTAACCCATTTCATCCTCTCCTCCCCAAAAATTGTGTTCACAATTTTACTGCAATAGGATAATGAAGAAAAAGATGACAATACACAATGTTATTCCTATTCATAACACACCATTGAGGAGAAAGACAAGCTTTTGGTATTCTCTGTCGAATCCAATTGAAAATATTTATCCTTCGAAGTGTAGTAGTCCATTCAATAACTTTCACCTTATAATGCATACTTTATTAGCCACTTAAATCATCAAAGAGGGTTCAAAAATGGAAGAAAGTGGATCATCAATCAAAGAATGGAATAAAAATTGCAAGACAATGGCTTAGATTAAGCTGAAAACCCAAGACAAGACATTTTATCACAAGTTGATGAATCCAAATGCATTGATTCAGGCGAAGACGTTTATTATGAGAGTTCCTCAATTTCCCTTTCATTTCTTAAGAAATTAAAATTCCAGCCATAATAGCAACAAAAATGTCATGAATCTAAGGCAAAGACAATCTATTATACATGTTGCACAAAAATTTGATTTTTGCCCAACACGGCTTCACTCATACAATGAAGAATTATTTGAGATTTATTAATATAGGTTGGACCCAACATAGATAAACTATATTAGTTAATTACAATTCCTTGTTTCAATGGAATACCCTTTGATTCCATTGAGAAATTATCACGCGTCACCATTTATCTCACAAGGGAATGGAAAAAAATTTATTTGCAGTGGCGGCTGGGCCTAGGGTAATTGCCTCGGCTGCTTACGTACTCAGTAACGGGATCAAGTAAATTCATAGTTTAGTGAGGTTAAATTATTTTTTGAGGGTAAGATCAATAGGCAGATGATCCAGTGATTTTGAATGGATAAAATATTCATAATTTTTATCCCTCGTAAAGCTTTTGATCAAATGTAAATAACCACTCTCCATCCAAAAAGAAATCCAAACAGACAGTAATTTGACTATGATTTCATCCTAACTTGAGCTTTGGGATGATGTGAGAAATGCAAGCGTAGATGTTACTACTACCACTAGATAAATTTATGTTACATTAAGAAATCTAAGCCCAATTAAGTAATAAAAGAAGGTTGGGAAAAAGTTGAGCAACTTAGATCTTTTTTATTTTCAACCCTTTGAAAGCTTTGAATCCAAATTCAAAATCAAATTCTTAAAAATCTGGGAAAGAGATGGGAAAAAATGGCAAAAGAGAGTAGTTGCTGTTGTGTATTTGTTGGACCTTTGCAGCTACTATGAATGTGATCATGAATGCCACTGCAGTGCAGCCTGGACAACTGCCGAGCATTTCAGAGAAAAGAATGATCATGTGCACCCTAGCCATGTCAACTATATTTTTTTGTCTGCCTCTCTCNTGCAGTGCAGCCTGGACAACTGCCGAGCATTTCAGAGAAAAGAATGATCATGTGCACCCTAGCCATGTCAACTATATTTTTTTGTCTGCCTCTCTGTCTCTCTCTCTCTCTCTCTCCTGGCAGAAACTTGACTAGAATCTATGTCTATGTTTGAAGCTGCATTGAAGTATTAAAAGATAACTGAAGGAAAGAAAACTCCCAATTGCTGTAACTCTGTTTTATTTTTTATGTGTTTATTCAGGAAGTGCTAGAATTGGTTAAACTGCAGATTTTCCGTATTTGATTAAATTGTGGTCATGTGGTACAGCATGTTGTGTTCTTTTATCCAAAAATTATATATATATACATATATGCATTTATATATGCCAGATGTTCTGTTCTTATGATGTATTGGAAATATATTTTGCTCCACAGGTTACGTNTGTGTTCTTTTATCCAAAAATTATATATATATACATATATGCATTTATATATGCCAGATGTTCTGTTCTTATGATGTATTGGAAATATATTTTGCTCCACAGGTTACGTGCTTCGGGCCAACCTTACATCGCATATCATCCTGGGCTTGTGAGAGATATCTTAGCATATCATGGTTGTGCTGAACTTTTTCAGGTTGCAAATTGTTTTTATTTCTTAGTTCCACATTTTTTAAGATTCTGAAAAATCCTGGTTGCCGAGTCAATGAGTATATTCCTGAGACAAACTTTCGGGCAACATGGTACTGATGTCGGTCAATTAAAGTAGTTTCTAAACATCTTGTCCACTGTTGTGTAGACTAATAGATGTTATTCGGAAATGAGGTTAATATCTAATGATTATTGTTTCCATTAAGGATTTAAGGCATATTAGTAACGGCAGCCAATGCATTGGATATAAACCAGCATATTGGGACCAAAATTTTGCAGGAGATTGGTACAGTATGGATGTGTTTCATTGGTTTGATCCTCTGTATTCGTTTGATGTACTTAGAGATTTCTCGTGATTTAGAAATAAGAGCTAATTTCCACCTTTCATATCTCGTTGTTGCCGATTAGTTTCAAACTTCATCATTAATGAGATTGACAATCTTTTTAGAGAAACTTAGTTTTGGACCGTTCCAAGAAACTTAGTGGAGGTTTATCCTCAATTTAGTTTAGGCTACATGTTTCATACGTTTTCGGTTATTTTAAGAATGTTGTTAACTGTCTATTGCCCTTCCCTTTAATTTTGTAATTGAATCGGGCTACTTAGTTATTTGATATTATTTCTCTTGTGGTTCAGAACTCTGAAGTGCACCTGTATTAGGTCCACTTTTTTTCTACATCATTTTGTTGAGGCTCCTTTCATTTTTGTTACTAAATTTCTTAAATCCTACAGTAGGTTATTATCATACTTACAAACCATCAGAGAATTTTTTTTTTGACAAGTAACAAAGAATTGCTAAAGACAATTGAGTTATGATCAGTTAGATTATCAATCCATTAGGCTTTGGAGAATAAAGGAAGAAAGAAAGAAGAACAATTTGAGAAG